TTTTTTTTTAAAGATTCATGGGTTTGTCTAAAATCCACAGGAGACTTAATCTGGAGCTCCAGCAAATACAGTGGCTAAGGGAGTATACAAATGAGCATTTTGAATGATATATCCTGAATCAATAATGACTCCTGGGAGGGAGTACAAAAATAATTTTTCATCTTTTTCATTGTTAAATAACCTCCTACTTTGAAAGTATTTAGCTACTAGTAAAGAATCAAATTCTTTTCCCCTTTTCACTGGAACTATGTTTCAAGATAACCAAAAAGTACTAGTCTGGAAGGTCAAGAAATACTTAAAAAAGAAGTAATAGTAATAAAGTTTCTCTATACAAATAATGATATTTTTCAGATAAGGATTATCATTTGTTGTTACAACCGTTACACGTTAAAGTCATTATATATAAACCATCTTATATTGCTACAAGAGATGAAAACTTCTCAGTAATAAGACCACACGGATCACTGTTCAGTTACAAGGAGAAAAATGTATCTGAAATGTGGGTTTGGACTGTTATCCCTTTAATCTAGTGGTTAATCTTAACAATGAGCACAACCAGATATTTTATGTCTCCTGATAAAATATGCATTGCCTCCTTTGATGTATTCCAGACAAAAATGTTTATCCTTTTAAGTATTACCATGCTATTTGACAAGCCCATAAGGACCAGACCACTGGGACGGCCCCTAAAGATAAGCATTGGATTTGCACATAAAAGCCAACTGGAAAAGTGGATCAGATGTGTTATCTAATTAAACTGAATATCTGCCTTTAGGATGGTTTCTGTTATCTCCCACGATCATTTTGGCCCATTAATTTCTTTTGTCAGGAAAAGAGATCTTTAGATAACTTAATTCAAAGAAGAGAAAAACTGGGTCTTGATTTGTGCCAAAAAACTTTGACCACCACTGAAGGAGAATTTTGGACTGCCGCCTTCTCTGTCCCAGCCTTTTCATGTCATGCTATACGAGAGGACCCCAAAATGGGGAAAACCATATTAACACTATGGTCCAGAGAACAGCAGACCTGGACAATCTCACAAAGCCATAGAACTCAAGCCCGTGACATTGGACAGCGACTGGTTCAAAATACATTTTGTTTAGAAAAGTTACTGGCCTTACAAGCATGAAACATTGCTCTCTTGTAAGTACATTGTATTCACATCTTTAAAGACCTCTGAGATATTTAAGAT